TATATATATATATCATGCTGTATTTAATTAGATACAGTCAGAGAGTCTGTAGGCCTAAAAGGAAGGAGAGCTACCACGTTCTGAAAAACAAAATGTGTTTAAAATCATGTAATGTTTAGGTTGTAACTCGGTAAAAACTCGGTTTAAGTGAGTACCCAAACTGAAGTACTTGTACTCCTGTTTATTTAAAAAAAAAACTGGTATCAGGACATCCCTACATCTGTAGCATGAGAGCCTCGTGAACAGGCATTTAGCTAAAGGGGCGTGTTCACTTTTCTGACACTGTCTTTCAGCTGGCGACGCCTCAGGAGGCCCTCAGGGCACTGTGCCAAACCTCGAGATTGCAGAGTTGTTTTGTTTTACACTATGTAGATTTCATAAACTTTGCAAGCCGCGTGTGGGTGACCGCAGTTCTTTTCTGAAGCCAGAGGAAGAAACACAGAGAATAAATTGCCCAGCATGGATAGAGGCGATCTTAACCGCTTCAGCAGCTGTTGCTGTGTGTGTTGTTTTCACAATAACTGGTCCAGATGAATTTGTAACTTTTTTATCTATGTAAATTTCATAAGAGAGGTGGGGAATTATTGTGTTAGTTAATGATTTCTGAGAAAATTTATCATACAGAAAAATTTGTTATCGTGACAGGCCTGACCCCTAATTTACACTCGATGCGGTTCCGCTCTGCTGTGGTGCTCAGTTCGCAACTGTTCATTTGCACCCCATTTTATACAGTGTCCACTCCACTCCGGTGTGAAGCACTGAGGTCCGAGAAGCTTGTGCAGGAAATACGAGATAGTGCAAAAAATCCAGTGGTAAATGTGTAAGTCAGAGCAAAATAATAAATTCTGTGGAAGACTGACTCCAAAGACAGCAGAAACTTCATTGCTGTTGTCTTTTTGAAATTTATAATTTCAGAATAAAATCTACGTGTATCATGTGTGTATAATTATGCTGCATGCTGCCATCTGCTTCCCAAAGAGAATGTAACATTTTGACTGTATTTGCGCAAAAATATATCCATATATTTATCAATATAGCTAAGCTTTTCAGAGAAATTAGTCCATAAAGGTGTTGCGCTTGTTCCTTTTCCTGTTGGTGTGACATGATCTTTGTAGATGACTCCGGCGCAGCTCCAGCATTTGGAAAAAAAGGATTGAATCTAATTTTGGCTGATCGCCGTCTGCTCACCACCGCCGTGCAGAGCCAGTGTAAACACTCTAATTGGTTATAGTGGTTTTGTATTTGTTGCGGCGGTTGGACCGGAGCAGAGCGGAAATTCATCTGGTGTAAATTAGGAATAAGTATTGGTATTGGATCCAAGCAGAGTAGCTTTTTGTATGAGTATATGTAAAAATACAGTTTTCTGACCCTAATGATACCACTAGCAAGATCGGGAAACCACTATACAAAGCTGCAAAGCATAATGAAAAATAATAATAATTATCAAACGATGAATGAATTAAGAAGGAATGTAACAATTAATAGAACATTGATTAATAGTCAATTATAGCTGCTTAAATTGTAAATTGATTCATATAAATGAATTAACTAATTTCACTGTTATTGTATGGTTATGTTATAGGTTATGTCTTTAAGACAAATTCAGTTTGACACTTGTTAACATTTGGTCACAAAATGATTTGTGAAGTCATTTTTGTTTAATTTATTTTGTTAAGACAACAGACCGTTACATCCATCCATCCATCCATCCATC